ACCGAGCAGAGGTGAGAGCCGAGGCCAGGCCGCGCCGGGAGGGCGCTGCCATCTGCCTCTTGCTGCGAGGTTTTATCGCCTTCGGTGGGTTTTCAGCCGAGGAGGGGGAGGGAGCCGCTTGACTCAATCAGAAACGCAGCTTGTGTTTTTGTGTTTTTCGGAGGTTTGCTCCCTTCTTTCTTTATTTCCCGATATGAAATGAAACTTTGTAATATTTAAAGAGCGAGGCCTGACAACTCTTACTTTGCTCCTCAGCTCTTTAATCCTGCAGAGGAACTCCATGAGGTGGGATGGCAAGGTTTATGAAGAGGTCCCGATAGCTCACATCAAAGCAACTTACAACAAGTAAGCAAATGAGCTCCTCCATTCCTGCTCTCTCATTCTGCGTGTGAAATCAAAGCTTTGAACCCGTGGTTTGGCCTGTCATCATTGTGATCTAAAGGCTCAAAGGAAAACAGGCAAGGGAGTTGTGTTCATAGCTGGGAAGATGATACTGATTTAAACCTCAGTGGTGTTCAGGGAGCATACCTGTTCTTGGAGTGTCTTAAAAGCAGTGAGATTGTTTTTATATATTTTGATTACATTCTGATATGAATAATCAGATGCTGATAGTTTTACCAGCAGGTTACTTCCAGCTCATGCTATAGCACTATTTCTGTGCAAGTGTTAAAAAAATTATCATATTCTCCATGAGACAGCTGTGTTTCATCAGTGATTGCTCCTGTGGTATGTTACTGCTTAAGGCTCTTTCAAGTTCTAAAAGTGTCTTGTGCATTTTTTTTAATAGAAGAGATAAAATGCAGTGAGAGGTGGATCTGAAAGGGCTGAGTGAGATAAAGCACACCTACTCCAGAAAGCTTCTGCTGGGGTCTGTAAGATGACCAGGTCACTGCTGGGTGGTCTCTGCAGTGGGTTTGAGTGGGATACTTTAAAAGAGAGACAGAAGTCAGTTATGCCAGTAAGGTGAGCGAGAAACTGGAGAATAAAGCTTTGTTCCAGCTTGCTTCTTCCCTCTGCAGCACACACATCCAGGTGGTGAGCTTTGACAACCAGCCGTTCTCCCGCACGTCCTGCGGCACAGAAGGCTTCCAGAACGCCAAGAAGGGCACAGCCATCGCAGCACAGACTGCAGCCATGGCAGCAGCAGTGGTGAGTGCCCACCGTCATCCCCATCTCCAGAAGGGAGCTCTGACTGCCTGCCCTGCACCTGGGCACAGCCCTGGCTTGCAGGCAGCACTGTGGGGCTGGAGTTTCATTTGCACACGAAGTGTGTTTGAAAGAGCTGTTAGAAATGCCCCAAGTGGGAGCTGAACTGTGCAGGTTGTGATTGGCAATGTGTGATTGTAACTTGGAGCCTGTCCTTTCCTAGCAGCGGTCTGCACAGCCTCCTCTTTTCCTAAGTGAACATTTCTCAGTCATTTGGGGAATGTAGACCCTGAATCAGCAGCAGTTCAAGTTCTGCACCGTAGGGGGCTGAGAAGTAGCTGTAGTTATTGTCTGGATATTTTATATCTGCTCTCTGCCACAGAAGTGAGCTCCAGCCAGCAGTTCCAGTCAGAGTAAGTGATGTTCTTGCACCTGTTCATTCCAGCTGCATGTCCTTTATTGTAACTCTTTCTGAAAAAAAACATGTGGGTGTCCAGGTGGAGGAGCTGAGGCTGGCTGTGTCACAGTCCTCATTACAGCAGAATAAGGCAAGGTTGAACTGAAAATCCTTACCCTAAATTAGGTGGAACTCACTTCAGCCTTTCATGCCAGAGGAGTTTGGTGCCACTGCTGGCCAACAGCTTATTGTGGTTGACTCAGAGCGATATAAGAACATCTTCACTATTAATCTGTGCTCATTGGAGCCTGATAATAGCTGCGTAGCAGTGCTTGGACAGATTGATTCTGTCACTGTTGAAGTAGTTAGTTACGTTAATTGCACCAGAGCACAATGAGAAAGAAAGCCAGAGGTGGCTCCCTCCACGTGGTGGCAGCAGGGCTGTGCTGTACAGCAGTTCTTCATTTCCAATTTGAAAACCCCTAGAATTTTTGCCCTGAAGGTGTGGACTCCTGCGCAGCAAATCTAAAGCTTGCCTGCTCTCTCATTTACCCTCCAGAAAGAATCCACCGCTCACAGGGGAGAAGTCGCCACATTAGAGAAGGGAAAACAACTTAGATTTAGTCATTGTTAGTCCCTTGCCACTTCAGTCACGTATCCATGGATATGTCCTTTTTTGCTCTGGCTTTAGGTCACAGATAGTTTGATTTGAGAGCTTTCTCTGTGTGCAGAGCTCACAGTTTAGCACAGAAGTTCTCTTGAACTGCCATGGCCCAGCCTCGTTTGCTCTTAGTGTCTCTACAGTAATCCTCATATATGCCTTCTCTATCCATTACTACCTAATCTTTAATTTTATTTAAATACTACTATGAAAATGAAAGACACCAGGGGAGCCAGAGTTTGTCAGAGAGAACACTGACTGGTTGTTCTTTTCACAGAAAGCACGTGGGAAGGGTGTATTGCACGTGCGAGTCATGGTCAAAGGACTGGGACCTGGACGCAAAGTAGGTGTTGGAGTTTCTTTTCCATACTTTATTTTCTCAGCTATCATGGATGTTTTCTAAACTCAAGCTGGTTTCAATTAACTTGGTTTTTCTGAAGCTGATTGTAAAGGATTCCTCACCCAAGTGCCCAGTAATGAATTTTTAGAGTCATTATAATTTTAGAGTAATACCATGTTGGAGGTAGAATAAAAGCTGTATTTGGGACTTCTTATGGCTAAAATAGGAAAATCAGCAGGAATGCTCAAGAGCAGACTAGAGCAGATAAGTTCAAACTGGGTTTTCTGAATGAGTTACTTATTTTTAAGAATTGAGAAGTGAGAAGCATTGGAACAAGTTGATTTTCAGATGGGGGATGAAACTGTTTTGCCCTGAGCTTTTTCCCTTCTCTGCTGTTCTGTGTGTTGATAGCTGTCATCTGCTTTCATTTCAGGCTGCCATCAAGGGGCTGACAATGGGAGGTTTGGAGATCATCTCCATCACCGACAACAGCCCGGTCCCCCACAACGGCTGCCGCCCACGGAAACCCAGGAGAGTCTGAGGGGCAGGGCAAGGGACACACAGCTTTCAGTGTCAGTTCACCAGGGACTGACTTGAATGTTGCTTCTGTGACTGATTCTGGAAGGCCACCCTCCCTGGAAATGCTTGTTGAGGGAAGCTTGGAGAGAACATGCTGAGCCTTGAAAATGCAGGAGGTAGAAGCTGCTGGTAAAAGCAGGAATCCGTGTATTCCCTTAGTGGGAAGCCTCTTGTCTACAAAGTTTGTTGATTAAAATGTTGCTTTTCTGACAGCCATTCCTGCTGTGTTCCTAGAAGTATTTTGGCTTATTACTTCCTTTCAACTGCTCTCTTCCTCTTACCACCATATGTGGCTCTTGTCTAGCCCTCCATGCCATTAGTGCCCTTGTCAGACAGAAGGAGAGCCTGAGATCTCAATCTCCTTGTAGTCATCTGTAGTAAACAACTGCACAGGGTCAGGTCATCTTCCTTCCCTCTTTGTCTCACTGCTCACATTGGGAAACAAGGTGTGGGGTAACTCTTTCCTTCCCCCTGGCTCAGAGCTACATGTCAGAGGCAGCTCTCCCTGTTCACAGAGCACCAGCCTGGATCCATTCCTGATTCCTGGCACAGATCTGTTGCAGTGCTTTGTTTCACCCAAGCTGTACTGACCTGCCACTGCTCTTGGCAAAGGAAAGCACCTCACTTTCTAAAGGGGCTGCTGGGATCTTGCCAGGTTTGATGCTTGCAGTCTCTTTGGCCCTGCCTTGTGCACCACAAACTGGATTTTCCAGGGTCCTGGGGAAAGCAAGCAGGGGTTAGTAGGCCCAAGGAATAATGAAATGCTGCCAAGGAGATACAAAGCACTTAAGTCTTGAACTGTACCTCTGTGTATCCACAAGCAGCAGGAGCTTGTTGTGGGTCTGTGATGTATTATTGCTGTCCTAGCTCCATCCAGAATTTCTGCCAAGGAAATATGTCAGGAGCATTAAGCAGGGAAGGTAAAAGCAGTAACTGACTACAGGATGGATTTGCTGGATGGCAGAGGCACATTGCCTAGCAAGGGGCACCTCACTGAAATCCCTGCTGCCAGAGAAGCCCTGGCACTATACAACGTGCTCTGGGCAAGTATTTCACCTGTAAACATGGTGTATTTCAAAGCAACCAGCAGTTCTATTGCAAATGCAGAATCTTTTCTATTATTTCTCATTCTGTCATTCCTCTGTAGTTTCTTAAATTGCATAGTTAACTATTTTCTTCCTCTTTAGAGAAAGGGTACCATAGCAACAAGGCAGTGAACCTCCTTCATGGGGCTGAATGGCATACAGCAGGTTTTGAAAGAAATCACTCTGCTTAGAAAAGCCTGTTGAGTTGCATTTGACAGGAGAAAACAAGATTCAGACAAATCTCCTACTTTAGTCCAACTCTGAATTTGAAGGGAGGGTAGGTGATCTTAGAGGGAAGTTCCTTGAGCTGTCACGGATTTGACAGTGAGGAAGAGAGGCTTTCCATAGATGTTTGCCACACTAGGAGAGTTTCCCCCTCACTCCAGAAATACAGCTGCACTAGGCACTTAATATTCCGCTTTTTAAGAAGAAGATAGGTCAGCCATAAACTGCCAAGATGAACTCTCTCAGTATGCAGTCAGCTGGCTGGGGAAGGGATGTGTGATGTGTTTACAGCAAGGCTGGGCTGGTGTCTGTGCCCAGCACAGCAACTGGCCTGACAAAGGAAGGGCACCAGGCTGTGCTAGCAGGTTTGTCTAACACACACAAGACCAAACACTGCTGTTCTCTCTCTACTACAGCCTGTTCATTGCAGCAATGCTCTTGGTTTCTGGGTGTTTGTGAAGGTTTTAGGAGGTCTGCCACTGCTTATACAGTGGGAAGCTTTAAGGCCCTCCCTGCCCTGCCTATTTTGACTGACAGTCCCATAGCACCCTCTGTGCTGGACAGAAGAGGCTGACACTGTTCTCCATGGCTCAGTGGTTGGGATCTGTACAATGTGATGCAAAATCTTTCAGACCCCCAGCTCCCTGTACTCGGTACAGCTTTGTACTGAAATCACATTTCCCATCCACCCTCTCTCCTGCCCTGATGGAGCACTCCCAAAACCATGTCCTAACTTAGTGCACAGTCTCAGCTGTTTATCCTGCAACACATCCTGGGGCTCTGGGGCAGTCAGTGAGGTGAGGGAGCACAGCTGCACAAAGCAAGGGCTGGATGCTCCTTCCTGCACACACTGTACAGTGGAAGAAGGCTTAAAACTCTATTGTGGTTTGTGTTGCAGGGAATTAATAGACACCAATAGTGCTTAACGATTTCCTTACCCTTCAAATGAAACTATTAATTAAGGGCCTGGTTTTAGTCAGCCACTGGTGTTTACGAGTTCTAATTGCTTTTCTTGGCATCTGGGTGGAAAGCTGTTTTCTACTGGCTCACATTCCTCCTGAGCAGCAATTACTTTATTTGTCAGTAGCATGGCCACAGCATTAGCACTCTCATTAGGGTCATATCCTCTCCCTCTGGGCTTCCCTGTTGCTTTTGGACATTTTGCTCTCCATTCCCTCCTAACTTTTGATTCCCTACATTCAAAGATTACTTTTTTCTGAGAAACAGTCTCAGAAATTGCTGCTGACTGCAAAGCTTCATCCTGGTTCATCCCTGGCCTTTCCTGGGATTCTGCGTTCCGTTCTAAATAAACGGTCACATGGACCTCTCTGCATTGTATCCCTGTAAATCCCTGTGTAAAGCACGGAACGCTCTCCTGACTTACAGATAAAATGCTGCCTCAGGTCTGTTTACCCCTTACTGAGTGCCACACCACCTTGGGGAGTTAGTCTAACTTAGTTACCCTTCCTTTGGACCTGGGATGGCACCTGGTGGCCTGGAAAAATAGCCCTCAGCCATCTCCCTAATAGTGTATTATTCTGCAAAGAGGAATTACTTCCCTATCCCCAGCAACAAGGACCTTCTGCCCAGAGCTGCAGCTTTATCTGCTGAATTGGTGATTTACTATTTCTTCCATGAGCATCTCAGTGACAAGATTCAGGCAGCCAATTTGGATCCCTTTGTGAGATTCAATTAAACCATAAAGTGATGTCAGTGTCCTTTAACAGCTGACTGTACACACAAGCAGGCAAGGAGAAGGGGGAGAAGGGGACAGACCCTGCAGTGCTAATAAACTGTAGCAGCAGGGGTGGCTTAAGGGAGCCTGGCTACAGCTGCTAAAGACATCTGTGCAGGTTTTGCTGGCTTTCCCTCTGCTGTGGGAATACCTGGCTCAAGATGTGCACAAAGAAGGTCACTGAGTAGGTGTTTATAACCCTAAAGCACCCCTGGGAGTTTTGAAGAAGTAACAGTTCAAATCAGGTAATGTTTTTGCACTCAGACTTCAGCAGATAATCACGGTGCTGCTTTCATGCCTAGCATCCCCACCTGGCCCCTCTTCCCCTCCAACCTCAGCCCATGACCTCTCAGACCAAAAGGAGATAAAGGGCCCTCGGATTGGATTTCTGCTTTCCCAATGTTCTCCTCTCCCTGAAGAGGCATTAATGGGTACTCATGGCAGTGGGAACTGCTCAGAGGTTTTACTAATGAACAGCATAAGAGCATACAAGCCGCCACAGGAAGGTGAAGCGGAATTGCAGAGTCCTCTTGGGGAGATGTAGAGGGGAGCCAAGCCTTGATGATATTTGTTTTTTTGAAACCACTCACACCTCTTCTGCTGAGTTCTCCAAGCTTCCCCTGCACTAGTGCCACTTGGCAGGGTCCTTAATTTCTCCAGAGTCCATAACCCTCCTCCTGTGCCCACATCTACAGAGAGTGGAGGCTGTGCACCTGGACCCAAACATCTCTGCAGCTCTGGAGCCCCAACAGCCATTGTTTGGGAAAGCTGCTTCCAGCAGCAGCCTCACTGCTTGTTTTTCTAAAAAAAAGTAAGCAGAAGGGAGAAAGGATTGGGCACAAGGGGCTCCTCTTCACAGCAGCAGGCCAGGCTTCCCACACACACAGGGCTCCAGGTAGCAAATAAAACTTGGGGCCCCAGGCAGAATGACATATTTCACCCACCAGTCTCCCATCCTCTGCCCCCTCTGCAGGTCCCAAGGGGAGGGGAAGTAGGACTCATCTCTTCATGCACCAGCCTGCACAGACCTTGCTCTCCTAATTGCCAGCCAGGCTCTCACACAGCCCCTTGGCAAGATCTGGGTGCTGCCTTTCATTTCACTTCTGCCAAATCCACAGAAATAGTAATTTCCTGACCTGCCAGGGTCAAACTGACCAAGAAATGCAAATTACTGAAGACTGGTCAGCCCTGTGGACTTCTTAGTAAGGCTGATGGCTGGAAAGCAGCTTTCTCCAGCACTGGGAGATGCTCTGGGATAATCTGTCCCTGGACATGGTTGTAAAACCAGCCTGTTTACCAAAATCCATCCAAAGAAGTGATGCTGCCTGGGGAGGTCCCTTCCAAGTGATCCTGCAGCCAAGAGACACAGTCACCGAAGGGCCAGTGTAAAATTGGAACAAACCCTGCTTGGCCACAAGCAGCTGCACAGCAGAGCTGCTCTCCCCAGCCCTTATCAGAGCCAGCAGATCAGCACCAACATCACCTTCAAACCTGAGCCCTCTCTGGGGAAGCAGCCGAGGGGGGATTTAAGGGGTAGGAGGCAGGATGAGGAGAGATTAACTCAGACTTTGCTGCCCAAAGCCAGACAGGCTGCACTGCACAATCATGCTGTCGAGATGACATTTGTCTGTCCTATGTTACAGGAGACCCTGCTTAGCTGCCAGTTGCTCCTTTTTCTTTACAAAGAGGGATTTTACAAGCATTAAGTACTAACCAGTCAGGGGTGAACCAGTGACCTACCTACGCTGCTGCAGGTATCAGCACAGATAATCTGGACCTCACCCTGACTTCAGGACCAGCCCCAAAAAAATAGGGCAGCAGCAATGAAAATTATCCAGCACGGGCAGAGCCAACAGAGCACGTGGGGCAGTGCCAGCGCTTTGGGATGAAGCCCCACACGCAGGGACAGTGCCAGCACTGCAGTAACCCACGGGATGTGTGCTCAGCCCTGCAGCTCGGGCCAAGGCTGCCTGCTGGTCGGCACAGAGGTGCTGGTGCCCCTCACCTTTCGGAGCCGGCTGTTTGAAGCGCTGTCCCCCGGCGCTGGCGGGCACGGCAAGGCCGTTTCCATGCGGATGGGCTGCTGCTCCCCGTTGCTGTGGCGACGGCGCTGGGCGCCAGCAGGTCGGAGGCGGGAGGGCGAGGATCGAGGATCGTATCTCGGCGGAGCTCACCAAGGGCACTGGGTACATCTAATCCGGCGCTGCTCCATTTTAGGCCTCCCAGGAGCACCAGGGAGGTATCAAATGACCAGCTCAGGGCAGCGAGCAGGCACTCACAGGGATACTACACACTGCGATTAAAAACACCCAAAAATCACATTCAACAGCAGCCAGATGGCCCTGGCAGGGCTTCCCTGCCACCTGCCTGGTTCTCAGCCCTCCAAGCCCCTTGAGCAAGTGGTCCCACACATCCCAGCTCCAGCAGCCCCAGGGCTGATGTCAGCGCTGCCAGTACACCCTCACCTGCCCCATCCAAGGTGACCAGTCAGGCACTGGGACAGTTGTTATATTTCATATTTCTAGAGTCCCATACTGTTGTTATTATATTCTTAAAGTCCATGCCTTCTAGCTGGTTTTCTACCATGCAGTTCTTCTGTGTAGCACACTTCCTCATGACTTCCACAGGGGCTTCTCCTGACCCACCCCTTTTTATTCCAATTCTCTTCACGCAGCTACAGCTGCTGCCCAACTAAGGACTTCACAGCTGTAGCTCGTTTAGAGTAACTAGGACCCACTTATCCCATACATAGGACTCTCACTACAGACAGTGACAGTGAGCTCAGCCACCCAACTCTCTCTACCCTTCTGCCTCCATACCTGATGCTGTTGCAACACACCTGAATAGAGGAAGGATACTGGCAGAGGGAGGGATGAACTTGTGCAAGAGTAGCTTTCAGAGGGACAAGTGGCTGCCAAAAACAGGGTTTAGGTAGTCCTCTGGGCAAAGCCAGGGCTGCTCTGGACTACATTTGGCATTTTGCAAAGCTGCTGGGTAGAAGGGAAGAAGACTGCCACGGAAAGTAGAAATAGCATGTTCCTGGCTTTAAAAAGATGGAACTCAAACTAGTTTTGTCATCCACAGAAAATAAACTCTTCCAAAGGAGGAGGTATCTAATTCATACCTGGACAAAGCAGAATGCAGCAAATGCTGGGGCACTGGTAGTGTTATCTAAGGACCCTGGGCATCCATGAGCCATCCCAGCACATTCTTCCATAACTGTCTTAAACTCATTAGTCAAGTGAAGACCCAGATGTTACCAAGATGCTGCAGCACAGCCTTGAGTAGCAGGAACCAAGGGCAATGTGTCACTTTCCAGTTCTCCTCACATACAAGACCACAGCAGCTGGCCATGAAATACGAGTTTCCACATTGCTAGTTTAAAACTGTATTTTTTTTCTGGTAAAATAATCCATTTTTTATGGATTATTTTACCAGAAAAGCTTTTATAACCATGTAATAATTCAAGAAAGCACAAGATTCAGGCACATCAAGGACACAGGCTCTGAAACTTGCATAGCAAGGATGAAGCAAACACACAAAATCCTGTTCAATTGTCCATAGGACATCCATTTGCTCTGCAGCATGTACCTATCTGATAAAGGCTCCCAGAAGGACAACAGCTGTGAGAGAGCCACATATCTCATTGCTATGCCTTCACCATCTCTCTGCCCACAGCCCTGAGGGATCCTTGCAGGAAAAGCTAGCAGAAAAGCAGCAAGACAGCTCATAAAGAAGAAAAACAAAGGGATTTCTTAAAGCATCAGAAATCTGATTCTTCTAGCTAGGTCAAAATGACCAAGGGAAGAGCTTAATAGATGCAGCACCTGAGCAAAAGGAAGGTCCTTTCAGTACACACAGGGAGCTAAATCAGGGCCATAAGCAGTGGAAGGTTAATTGATAGGAGTCTTTAGTAGGGACACATCTTAAACCTATCCATACATTTGATTCTAATGGGATTTCTGTGCCTTGCTGTCTAATGTATTTTATAAAAGAAATAATGCAGCTGTCCTGCTTTTATTTTTATTTTACTACTTTTATTTTCTTAAAGCAAAGGCAGCAGAAGAAGTAACAAAAGATGGGATTTTGCTGCCAGTCAAACGCAGTTTCCAGCTCAAGCATCTCCTCCTCACTTAGTGCCTGAAAAGCCACAGGCTCAAGAGCTTTCTGGTATGCTCAAGGTCTGCACAGGAAAGCATCAGAGAAATGGAGGAAAGGTTCAAAGGAAAATCACTTTCATGCTCAAGATGCAGATGGTTAGGAGAACTAACACAAACAGGGATGCTGCCGAGTTCTCAGCCAGATTGCAAAGAGGCAGGGAGCAGCACATCGACAATCTGAGTGCCTCAGCGCAATCCAAAAGCAGTGGCCAGGCTGTTCTGCCAAGCAAGGTGTGTTCAGCTTTGTGCTGGTTTGGCTGGGGCAGCTACAGAGGATGGAGCCCTGCTTTCCTGGAGATGGCTAAACACCTGCCAGACCATGTGAAGTGGGAATTAATTCCTTGTTTTGCTTTGCTTGCATGTGGCTTTTGCTTTACCCATTAATCGGTGTTTATCTCAACCCACAAGTCTTCTCACTTTTCTCACCATTGAGGGAGTGAGCAAGTGGCTCTGTGGGGCTGAGCTGCCAGCTGGGGTTAAACCACAACAAGCTTTCATCCCTTGATCATGAAGAAAATGTCCAAAAGACTAGATAAATGCTGAACATGGAATAAAGGAAGAGTCCCCGAGTACAAGCTGGGCTAGTAATAATAAGCAAAGGGAACAATGTAACCAAGAATTCCTCTCCCAGCATTAGTTCATGTAGACAAGAATTTGAGAAATCTGCAGGAACTACAGAAATGCCTCAGGTGGGAACATTCTTAAGGACACTTGTACTCCAAGTGCCAGGAAGAGGCAGCAAGCTCCCATGGGATATGTCTGCACAGTCCAAGGCCCTGCCATCTCTTCTTAGCAAAGGAATTCCCATCTATATCATTCAAATTTTTGGAAGACAAAGACAATAAATCAGACTTTTAAAGCAAATTCTGTTTATTCTGGTTTTGTCTTGTGTTGCTAAAATCTTTGCCCTAACCTAGGAAAAATATCAGATAGAAAATATCTCCCCTTTTCTCCCACCCTCCCCACCACACACACTTTTTGTTTCTTAAATAAAAGCATCAAAATTTCAAGCATGAGAGACTTTTCTTTCCATCATTTCTGTAAGAAAATTAACTCTGTTGTTGATATAAAATGCAGCAGCCAAGACCACAGGATCTGCTATGCTACTCCAAGGCAATTAGTACCCAGTATGATCAGTTTGTCTGCAAACATAATAAGAAAATACTTAGCACTTATCCAGCACTTTTTATCCATGAATCTCTAAGTGTTTTATAAAAGCTGAAAATATGTTTTTGGCCTCATTTATGGAGAAGAAAACACCAGCTGGAGAAGGAAGAGATTTGCCCCCAGCCTCAGAATTTAATAGCAGAGCTAAGAACAGATCTCTTTCTCAGCCCCAAGTCCAACATCCATGCCACACACTCTGCTTCACACAGGGAAGCCTGAATTTGGCAAAAGCCCCTACTACAGAAATGCTGAGGTTTATATTTTTGCCACTGAAAAAAGAGTCTCAATGGAAATCTGACAGCTAATTTAGTAAGCACTGACTACCTGAGGCTGTGACACCAAGGAGTAAACAGAGTCTCAGATGGAGCAGCTGGGAGCTTAGGGGGGGAAAAAAAAGTCTCATACTGAAGTGTGAACAGCTGTGAGAGTGGTGCAGAGGGAGGCAAATACATGATCTACAGTGTGCAAACCATTCTCCACTTGGAGCTTTAATTGAATGTTTGAGGAACAGATCACAGGATAAAACCCTAAAACCTTGACAAATAGTGTCATTAGATGAGAGGAACCTGCAGCTAAAGCACTGACACCTCCTCTGTTAGCAGTCTCCTGACCCGCCGGCACTCCTGACAGACCTGAGACACCAACAGTGCAAACACCAGGAAAAGAGCAATGAAATGCAATGTCTTGCCTAGAAATAATGTTTAGCAAGGCCAGGAGAGAAGTACAGTGAGGCAGAGAGCGAAGGCTGATTCAAGGACCTCGGGACACCCTTAACTTTGAGGCCCACCACTCATACCATGAGCAGGCACCCACACAGCTCTTCTCCAGTGCATCACCAGCAAAAATTAATGCATGACTCCAACACTCCTCTTCACAGGCATGTGGCCACAACACATCACCCACAGCTTATTTTGGTCCAATTTAGACACCCACAGGGTCCTTTAACAGAGAGGGTCTCCTGTGTATTAGCACCAATTTTCTATTGCCCCCACTGTACCTCCCAAAGGAATGGGACAAGAACAGGCTCCAGCTTCTGATGGAGCACATGGTGATGCTGGGATGGTTGTGCTGCCTGGCAGCAGTCATAAACCAGCCCTCATGTAACAACCCCCCAAATGCTGGCCTACAACCAAAAACTCCATTTTTAAGAGAGAAGGGTAGGCCAGCATCCTCACCAGCCCACAGTGGCAGGTAATTACAAACAGGAGCTTAATTTATCAGCAGCACAAACACTGCCACGGTCCAGCCAACACTGCCACACTGGCCAGCTGTGCTCTGAAGCCTGGAAACAGCATCTGGGTTCTCACAGAGAACAGTGTATCAAACAGACAGAGGTAAGCAACCTAAGTCAACAAGTTCATCTCCAGACTGCCCACCCACAGCAGTGAACATGAATTCAGGTCTCCACCCTTCTTCCTGGGCAACTCCTACTCATTTTCTACCCTGGTACTCCAACACACAGGAGGGTGCCAGCAGCTGGGTGTCCCTCTTCTCAGCTGCAGAACTTGCAGATGGCCATGAGGATTAATCCCCATGCTGCAGAAAAGTTCCTCTTTTCTGCTGCTGTTGCTCCCCAGACACCCACCTTCCTCCTTCCTTCCTTCTAATGCTTTGCAGACAGAACCAGCTGCCCTGGCCTGCTGGTGTAACACTATCTCTCACTTAGGAGCTTTTACTAAGGCACAAAGATTAAGCGACTTGCATAAGGGTCAGGAACACACCTCATGTCTCTCAACTGTAGTGATTTCTCACACCTTTTTTTTCCTGACCTCTTGCATATTAAAATGACATGAGTAGATTGTGTGGATGAGAGCAGGATCTCATTTCCCTAGCAATTCTGAAGATACAAACAGGGGTAGCTGTATCCAAGCCCTCCCCATGGCTCCCATCCCCTCCCTCTGTGACAGGTCATTTGTCCAACGTGATAGGAGAGCAACAGAGCAGAAGTGAGTGCTCCACAAGTGTGATGCAAAGCTCCATCTCTGCCATTCTAAGACCCACGGCTGGATAGAAAACAGAGGAAAGGAACCTCAGCTACACTTTGTTCATCAACAGGAGCAGGGAAGGACAGTCGGGAGATCTCTGCAGCACAAAGAGGGTCAGAAGAAGCCCCCCCACTCCCATAACTGGGGTGCATCAGCTGATCCACGGCTGAGAGCCCTGGTGGGAGCTCCCAGGTGAGGCTTCTTTCCATGAGCGATGGTTTGCTTTCCCAGAAGGTGTGAGTGCCTGCCTTTGGTGCACCAGTGGCAGAGGCCCAGCAGCAAGGAGAGCACCCCAGTCCCTCTAGGTGCAGCTGTGCCTCATGTGGAAGTTGACCACGTACTCGGCGTTGGTTCGCTGCACCGAGATGGCGAAGGGCTCGAAGGGGTGGAAGGTGAAGGCCACCAGGCGCCGCACCGTGTGATTGATGGGGCGCCCCAGCAGCCCCGCCTGGATCTCGAACTTCAGCAGGCCAGAGTCACGGGCGTAAAATCTGAAAGGAAGAGAAAGTCAATTAGGGCTGTTCCCCGCTATTGACTTTGCCATCTGGGCTCTTTGCATGCAGAGACAATGCCTCGTTGGAGCGCTGGTGCTCCCTGAGGAGCAGAAGGTCCTTAGCTGGGTGCCGGGCTCTTGGCTTCGCAGGGAAGTCCCTCTCAGGGCAATTGTTTTCCACTGTCTAGAAAAACATCACTTTTATTTTGTTATTAGCAATGAGAGAACTCTTGCCTGTCACTTTGATGGACAAAGCTGACTTCACAAGAGGGAGTCAGTTTGGTTCAGGCCCCACCTGTGCTGGCTCTCCAACCTCTCTTAATGCAAGCTGCTCCCTTGATCCCCAAGGCAGATATACTGTACAGAACTGAGCTCCCTTCCCTTAGCAATGGCCTTCACTAAGAGTGTCAGGCCACCCTTTCCTCCCCGTGGTACTGCCAGTGAAGGCTTTACACTGCTGTCCTTGTGCCTGTTCAGTCAAGGAAGTCGCTGCAATCCTGCTCAAGGGTGCCATGTTGTAGTGTACAGGTCAAGCAAGGCTTTGCAATTCCTTTTAGATTGCCACCAATAAAGCATTAATGAGACAGGCTGTGCAGGAGGTACATGATGAATTGGATTCAATAACCACTGCAAGGACAGAGGTCAAGGAAAACCTTATGACCTGCTGCTGTCACCCACACACCTGCCTGTGGGTCAAGCACATATGCATCTCCTGCCTGTGGGTCAAGCACATATGCTCTCCAGGTGAGCTCTGGAACACAGCTCCAGCACAGAGGGAACATTTTCAGGGGGATGAGACAAACAGCTCTGAATAGACAGGTGAGTTCAGGGAAGCTCTTTGCTTCTTGACCCTCCCCTGCACACTCTGTGTAACTGACATAAGCCCAGGTAACACCACTGTCCACTGCTGCTGTCAGAACACAGGACTCTCTGTGGGGATCCAACCCTCCCCAAGACTTTGGAGAAGGCTTCTGGGATGTAGTGGTGGAGGTTTCTGGATGTGGTACTTCACCAAGTAGCTGGGCTCTAACTCAAGTCCTTCCCCTGAAGCTGTCTCTGTTTGTCAGACCATTTTCATTAGACCTCTTCCAACTTCAGGCACAGAATTGCCATTATGCCTCCCAGCTGTTTTCTTTTCCACCAACACTTAGTGCATGCGGGTATTTTGCATTTTCCTCCGATTTTAACTCCAAGAATGCTTTTAATGTCTGAGCACATCTCCCCCCCGCCAGCAACACGATGCACTCAGCTCTCAGCCTGGAAGAACGGATGATGACAGATACCAGCGATGCTGTTTCAGGAGCAGACATACTCCACATTTTAACAACACAGCCTATTGAGAACCTCATGTTCTTCCTGGAGGGCCACTCTCCTCTCCCTTCCTCTGAATCAAAAGTGCCAGCCAGCCCTGCCTGAAAATTGCACACAAGAACCCAGCAAGAGAGTCACAATCTTGGTATTTGGCTTTTCAAAAAGCCCTTTTCCTCCTACACAAGGCTGGGTATGCAGAGGGTCATTCTTTAAATAAAGCACAGTCCCCCATCTGTTCCTCTCTCCCCCAATTCACAACAATTTACTACTCAAGATGAAGCTCCCTGTAATCTTAAAAGATGTGCTCAGTTTGGTATTTTTAAATGTATTTTTAAAAGTGCTCTGCAATCAGAGGCCATTTCCATGGGCTCTCATTCTGGGGATAAATTAGGCACTGCAATATAAAATTGTATGTCAACAGAAACAGCAAGACCAGCCTTTTCAAACCGTAGGAAAATGGAAGATTTATCTGCAGACCAATTCTTTGGTTAAATGGCTCCTTATTAGCCATCTAGATGGATTTTAGAGACCCCCTGCTATAGGTAGAGCTGTGTTAGAGCCTCTTCCCTCAAGTGCCATCATTTCACCCATTGAATATCTCTTCAGGCCTCCTGAAAAGAGACTGGAAGGTGGTGGTGATGGGGAACCTAAAGTCCTTCCCACCTAACAGCAAACAACCACTGGTCTCTTAAGTAGGCAGAATTGAACCTTCTGGGATGCAGACAAGCACTAAGGGTTAAAAGAACGCAGTGCACAGAAATATTGAATTGATGTGGAAAAGGTCTGGAAGCTTTCCTAGCTCACACATCGTGCCAGGAAACTGCACACATATTATAACAACCTTAGCTACTGAAGAGTTTTCCATTCCAGACAATTACAGGACTTACATTACAAATCCTGTGGTCCCTCATTTCCAAGCCCTCTAACCCCAACAGGCAGCTGGCATTATTTTATTAAACCCTTTGTTTTGCACGTGAGAACCACAGCAGCACTATTTCAGCTACTGAATGGTTAAGGTTAGCGCCTCATCTTCTGCTTACTTTCCAAAAAACCAGGAGCCCCACTGCTCCGAGGCTCTATTCAAGTCCTAATTGACTCTGCACAGCTTTGAGCTTTAAAAGCTCTGGCTCTGAAACGCTGGTTTGCTCAGGGGAGGGAGGGAAGGTGGCACTTGGCTTTGTTTACTACAAAGACTCCACCGCAGCACATGACTGCGGTTCTGCTGCCTTTTGTCCGCGGGAGCCCAGCGCAGGTTGGCGCTGGCAGACAACTGCCACCCTGCAAGTTTTCCCAACATCAAGCATGACAAGGGGGAAAAGGGCAGGCTTTCTTTGCAGATAACATGGAAGCTGGAGATCAAACCAAATCATACAGGCAGAAGAATCAATTAAATATACATAATTTGGGAATTGAGAGCACAGGAATAATCAGAAGTTCCCCGCCACCTGAGTCAGGGCCAGGGGAGATATGAAACCACTTTTTGAGAATGCATTGATGAAAATAAAGTTGGGAAGCAGTCCAGAATGATCTCCCTAGGCTGCCTGAGCCCCCAACATGTGTGCAGTCACTAAACAAAGCACTCAGGCACTGAAGGCTCTCTTTGTTTTCAGAGCATAGGTTTGCTTCTGCAGTACTAGGAGCAGAAATACTATTCTGCCTGGGTAACTCAGGCTCTTTGAGCCTGTCAAGCTGGAGACGTTGGATTTTTAACTACTTCCTCTTGCAGCCATGGCTGCAGCCAACAAAAAGAAATAAATAGTCCTGATATTTCTTTAAGAAGCATTGCAAACCTCCTTATTCTCAAGCTCAGACTTACTCCCTCTGCCAGCATTCGAGACTCAGACAGAAGAGGCACAGAATGGCCCTGGCACCTGGCTAAAATTCCTACTACAGACAGAAATTCCCTACAGATCACAGAGAGAAGGAGTATGACAAGGAGTACAGCTCCCATGGTGAGAACAGTAAACAAGGGAAGTCTGAAAACAGCTCAATCAATACCACAGGCTTTCTGAGTAACACCTAGCCCAGATACTATTTTATTCACAGGACAAACCAGACAATCCTTGCCAACTAAACCCACATGCTCAGAGAGGATCTTTCCAGCATAGGAAAGCAGACATCAGAGCTGTATCACTCTGCAACCCAAACACAACGGCTGCACTGCAAGAAGAGGAGGAGGAACAAGACCATTCATATGGAAAAGGCTGAGACTTCACCACCCAAACCCTCCCCAGAGCAGAGCAGCTCAGCAAGGAAACATGAAGAGCCCTCCCACACATCCCCATTACTGTAAAGGAGAGAGGCCAAGTTTTGTGAAACAAATCCCCTGGTGAAAGGATTTCCTAAGAGAAAGGCTTCCATCTACTCCCTATTCTGCACACTTGATGCCACATGGCAGAGGTGATTTACAGCGACTCTCTCCTCACATACAGCTGCCCATACCTTATGGGGTGATCACCACAGGTCTTGGGCCGCTCCATGACTGACACCCACTTGTCATCATAGCTGAAGAGGGACAGGTCGAGGTAGGGGCTGCCGCTGTAGGACTGGGCGCTGATGGGGAGCTGCCCCAGCAGGCGCCGCACGGCCTCCGTGTGCCCTCCGTACTTGGCGTTCACAATCGTGTCCTTGAACCTGCAGCAAAGCAAGAGACACCTCCTGTTCACAAAGGCCACAGCTGAACAGCACATCTTAAACAAACCAAGCAGGAAAACTGACAGGGAGAGAAAACAGCTGTGGTGTAAGAACTAGAACGGCTCGTTTCCAAAGATGTATCACAGTGATTCAAACATCAACCAGTTCTGCTAACCTTTTCATCCTCCCTTATCATTAGTGTCACAATGTCCAGAGGGACAGAAGGAGAAGAATGTGCCTACCCACAACGTCTGGGCCCAGCTGCTCTGCAGTACAGGAAATGAACAGGATCAGAGACGGGGAGAGATGGATTAGCAGCTGATCAGTCAATCCAAGTTTTACCACAAAGCCTGGAAACAGCATGAGCAAAAGCCAAGGGGCTTTCACAGTAACAGTTGAGCCCTTAATGTTTACTTGACAATCCTCCTCTCTTCGCCCACTGTTCTAAATGCATAAAGGAAGAAACCTTAGATGAAGAAGAACCTTGAAGAGGAGCATAAAGCTCTCCAGAAACTACAGTGAGCTGAAAGTTCTTCCTGGTGGAGAAATTAACACAGGCCAGATTTCTCTTTCCAAGAAAAATTTGAAACTTTACATGTGCAAAAACAGTCAGATCATCTGCAGGGACAATAAGGAGGGTAAACACTCAGCCAGAAGCCATCTCACTGTGGACTATGCTCTATGGTACTTTGCTGTAGAATCTACAACACTCCTGTTACAGGCCCTTGTAGCAAGGGGAGGAAAATACTCTCCTATCTACTCTAACAAAAGGCTGAAGTTGTTCTTCGTGAGTCTTCAGTGAGTCCTCTCATTCTCTCTCCCATTAAGCATTATGGATTTCCTGACAGGTTGCTCTAGAAAGTTACAGACATAGTCAATTTCGTCAGACTTATGTGACATCAGCCTAAAGTCAACAGAAGCTTGATGCCCATAAGTGGACGGCAAGTACTTTGGATGATGAGAAACAAGTCACTGGAAGAAAAAAACACCTGAGTCACAACAAAATTTTCCTAGAGAAATAACACACTCTGCCTCATTAAAACCACATCTGACTGTTAAGGCATATTCTAGAAACCCAGGTTATTTTGGTATTTTGTTCAGCTTTCACAACAGATCTAAGCAGATGAGTTTCCCTTCTCCTAGTACAGTGATGATAACCACAAGCTGGTGACTGATGTTGAGGAAATGCTACCGAACACAGTTTGGTACATGCCAAATTCTGAGAATATCACTTGGCAAAATACACACAACTGGATCATGCCAGCATCTTGACAAATCCTATCTTCAGGGACCAAAGTTACTGGGCAGTAACACTTTAATAACCTCCAAAAGAGTTACTGCTCAAGGAGAGACAGAAACATCTTTCAAAATTCCCTTCCTTTCTTCTAAGCAGCAGTTTGCTACTGCTTTGCTCCTTCCACTAACAAGGTAAACGCTGTGTAATATAAAATCAGATGCATCAGGCTGCAAGAATGAACCATGTATAGTCCACCTGGCAAAGGGGGCCAAAGGAACTGATTTTCTCAGGTTGGTATTTGATACTGGCCTTCAGCAGACGGGGCTGAGCGAGTGTCTATACGGAATAAAGCATGCTCCGAATGGCTCACCGGCGCTGGATCTGCCTCGCAAAGTTGTTGCTGGAAGCTGAGCAGGGGAACTGGACAGCCTCACTGTGCAGGGTGGCATTCCTGAAGAGGTCACAGAAGTTCTCAAACAGCTCCAGCAGCTCATCAGATGTGTTCTCAAACACGGCAATGACCTCCGTGGTCACCATGTTGTACACGACAAAGAACGAGGGCTGGGGAGAGAGGCAGAGGTTACCCAGGAGAGCAAAGCTGTCCCTTCCTTCTCCACACATCACACCACAGACCCCATCCAAATTTCTCCACAGCACAGGAGAATCCTACATCCTCCCACTAATCCGTTCTCGTATTGGAGTGCCTCAACATGTACCCAATTATCCACCTCTCAGCTGTGATTATTTAAGAAAACTTAATGGGCTTCCAATTCTTAAACTTGAACTAGATGAAACCATACTGTTTTCTCTTCTTCTCTGTCCTCCACCAAACCCAAAACACTTACTCAAGTGCCAAATTTAATCTTCATTCCTGCTGAAAAAATTACTTCAGATCCAATGCTAGCTGACGTTAAATTATTTTTACCTCTGCATAGATATATTAGTTTCTTCCCCTTCTTAATATCTGCATCACACAGAGATGAGCCTTTTTATCTACTGTGCACTACATCACTGCCCACAAAAAGCTGTGCCCTCCAGGTACCCTGCCAACACAGAAATGAAAATCTGAAAGATATTGATGATTTCTTAATGCTGACATTCTCCTGCAAGATGGCCCTTGTACCATGCTGTGGACTGGCAATGGCAATGAATCCTGGCACGAATGAGCAAGAAATTGGGAAAAAAGGTGACATTGTGTCAGCACATTTACAGCAAAGGGAGATGACATTCCCATCCCATTGGGAAAGGGCATATTTAATTCTTGATCATTAAAAGTAGCTTTCATTAGAGACAGGAGTGCTGGCACCCCAAAGTAAGAACCTGTCCCCACTTCAAAGGGAACTAATTCCCATGGCATCTGATTTAATCTTCTGTCAATAGAGGCAATTCCTAAATGCTTCACCTCCTGCTCCCAAACAATGCTCAGGGATGATGGCAGGCACTCTGCCCACCCCACCCACCTGCAAATATCACAAGGTTTGTTTGTTTTACAGCCCCAAAATAAACTATGATAATACAATCCAGCCCCCACATGTCCAAATGAAACACACAGGATGAGGTTACTCACTAGACTACTGCCTGAGGAAAGGGAAGCCCTTCTGAAATAAAGGGTTGGAGCAGAGAGAAAATAAGAGAAGACAGCAGAAGGAAAAACTATTTTAATCACTAAAGACTGCAGGGAGTATCCTCCAACTTTTTTATTTAAAGTTTCTTTGCCAGGTTAACATAGAGACACATCTACAGGATGTCCCTGAGCAGGGAAACCCTCACTGCTTTTGCAGCACCTGTAACACCACCAAAACATCATCACAGCACCGGAGGCAGCAGCTGAGTGCCACAAAAACCACACAGCAACGCTGACAAGCCTATCAACACAAGCCTACAACAGCAACAAACCCCCAAGCTACCTATGCAGAGCACACTCTTAAAGATCTCAAAGGACAGTGCAGACCCACACAAAAACCACACAACCCACAACCATGAACAGCAACTCCTCAACCTTCTTGCCAGAGAAGCCAGAGGGGAGAAAGGACCCTGAAATTGGATGAAACCTCATATTCCTTGTCTGACAGACTGAAGAAAAATGGGAGCTGTAGTTATTTTGTGAGCCAAGTTTTATTCAGGAAGCCCTAACACAATGTCTACGTTCAGACAGGTCTGTGTAAACTGCTCCACATCTGGAATTATCTCTGGAAGAACTGAGAAATGAGGCACTTTTCTTCCCCCAGCACAAAACCCAGCGCCTGAGGCACACTGCAAACAAACCACAAACTGCATCTTAAAGTAACCCTGGGGTGAAAAGACTGGAGAGCTCCCTGCAGCAAACCAGGTACTAAACCCTACTAACCGCAGCAGAGTGCAGAGCTGAGCCAGCCACAACATTTACATCAGGGCCAGGAGCTCATTCCAGACACCAGCAATGAGCAGAACCCTGCAGGGCACTTCCACAGAGCCTTCGTATTTCTCAGACAGACATTCAGCTTTACACCAATGGGCAACATGGATTAGATAAAGCCTTACCTATTTCCTCCCAAAGCAACTCTCCCAAACAAACACCACAGAAAAGGAAAATAAAACAAAACAAAACAGAGTCATCTCCCAGGAATTACCAGACAAAGGCAACACACGAAGAGCTATTGTTTATTTCTTCTAGGACCTAAGTCCTGGCAAAGATGTGGGGAAGAGAAATGCATGAGAGAAAACAAACCTCTGGGGAACAACCAGACCTACATGCTGCATTGGAGATTTATCACAAATTCTTGCTAAATACTTTCAACAGAATAAAACCAAGCTGATTAAAGGAATAAAAATTAGCTAAAAAAAAAAATCCTTACTTTCACAGGGCTCAAAACGTGACCAACCACTCTAAAAGCAGTAAAAAGAGATGATCAACATGCAGGGTTGTGAAACATCTGGAGGAACCCAGCACTGACTGAGCTACATTTGCTCTAATTCCACTTCTTTAGTAATAAATTGAAAAGAGAAGCAATTGGCCCATTAGCCTGATCTAAAAGCTGCTACTCTAATTTGGAGAGATCATAAATACTACCTCTTACTGGAGCTTGAAAGACTAAGTACGTAGGCAGAACAGAAATGGTAATTGTACCGGGGAAAATGAAGACTATTATATTTGAAAAACATGCTTGAAGATACATGAGAAAAGGGAGAGACTACCTCTACAATTTAAATGGAGTATATAAAATATCAGCTAAAATTAAACTCATTTGGGGATTTGGGGAAGGAAAGAGGATGGAGCATCTGCAAGCATGGGGAACAATCCTTGGAGAAAGGAACTTGCTAACACATCAGATCTTTCTCATTTTGCAGGTGAGAAGGAAGGAAGCAATGAAATTAAGTAAACAGAAGATACAGAAGTTACTCAATATCAGAGGCATCAAAAAAACCTCAGGTACTAGGGATCCTAAATAACCTTTACAGGCTCATTAAGGAACAGCTCACAGCATTGTAATGCTTGAGCACTTGTCCCAAAGCAAAGAGCAGCCTGAAGAGGGAGGCAGAAATTAGGAAAACAGCAGATACAGAAGTTATTCAATATCAGAGGCATCAAAAAAGACTCAAAAAGGTACTAGAGATCCTAAACAACCTTTAGAGGCTCATTAAGGAACTGCTCACAGCATTGTAATGCTTGAACACTTGTCCCAAAGCAATGAGCAGCCTGAAGAGGGAGGCAGTATCTGAGCCACATGGTCTAGTGGACCTCTAGCAAGGCAGTGGGAATTAGATGGTGTTTAAGGCCCCTTCCAACCCCAAACCACTGTGTGATTCTGTACCTGGGAAGGATCTGTCACCCGCAGTGTGACCACGTCCTCACTGGTGTATTTGATAAACAGATGGTTCTCATCCAAGAGCTGCATCTTCCACATGCGGAGCTGCCTCAGCTGGTCAAAGTACTGGAAGAACCTTCTCTTTGCTATAGCACTCCCATCCTGCTCGGCCCTTCTCCAAAGGTACACCAGCAGCCTGTGCTTCAGGGAGTTGATGAAGGGCTCCTTGTAGGGGTTGGCCATTCCCGTCTGCGTGTCCCGCTGCACCTCGGGGTACACGGCCGACAGGGTCAGCAGATCATCCTCGTAGCAGAAGCGGCCGATGGTCCTCACATCGATGAACGTCCCCTCGGGCGTCACCTGGAAGACGTGGATGGTCTGCTGCTGCACGGAGAGGATGGCCAGGATGTTCTTGTACAGGTAGAGCCCCTGGTTGTGCGACAGGATGACCTTGTCGCACTTGAAGGCGCGCGTGTCGCACAGCCGGCCCGTGTGCAGGTCGATGATGTGCAGGGAGTAGTCCTCAAGCGGGGAGCGCGGGTTGGGCGTCAC